ACACCATCCTTACGCAGTTGAACTTTTGGAAGCCCTTTAAGTTGAGCTCCGTGACTTTGAGGAATGGCCCTTCCCTAAAATGTTAATGTCCCCCAGGGTTGTGTCCTCTCTCCTTGAGCCTCTGCTGGCCATGTCCATGGATGGACTTCGGAGGTTTGCTCAATGCTCTGCGATTCTATGGAAAGTGTATATATGCTTGAGGACTGAAGGTGTTTATTAGATTCTGGTTAAGTATCTGTGAGGGACATTTGGAAGGAAAGGATCCATTTTAAATAACTCAAGAGTCCAGTAGATGAGAAAACTTTGTTAGAGGCCTCTTGGTTTTTCTCTGCGTATTGCTTTTCTTCCTATGATGTGGTGGAGCCACGGGGCAGAAAGGCTTCCGTTATTACATGCGGTCAGGCAGGTCTTCGGGTATTTGCTGCACTGTACACAAGGTGTGGTGATGATATGGCTGTGGTCGTAATGATGCAGATAACCGTAGCTGAACTGGTTACACACTTCAAATGGGTGGGCACGTGCTTTCTTGCATGTGGTATCTGATTTGGTCCTAACAGTAATCCTGTGAATAGGGACTGTTCTCCCCACTGTACACACGGGCAAACTGAGGCTTAGCGACATTAAATACACTCTCCTAGGGCCGCAGTTGGTAAGCAGAGGAGTTGAGATTTGAGCGTAAGTGATCTTACTTCATCGTTTCTGAGCGTAAGTGATCTTACTTCATCGTTTCTGCGCTTCACTCTTACACTTTATTGATGATTGGTCGTGTCCGTCTAATGGCATTTGCAGCAGTCAGATAACATTGAAATAACATTTAGCAATATTTAGCTTAGAAAATTTTAGTTGTTTTGTTGAGGGTAACATTATCTGATCCCCTCTCCTCCCCTTCCGCCCTCCCCTCTCAATACCAAAATGAGGTTGCATGTTTTTTTCTGAAACATGAGCTTTTGTCTGTCCTGCTGGTGAAGTTCTCAACAACGTCCCTTGGACAGTCTCGTGCTCGGAAGCCAGAGGTTGCCTTACGTTGGCTTCAGCCTCTTCTGTGTGTAAAGGCAGAGTTGCATCTGGTCACGGAGGGAAGAAGTTGGGACCTTTTGGGGCCATTGTGCCAACCCTAGTCTGTCTACTTCTGGACTCGTAATGGTAGGAAACAATAACTTCTCTTTTGGTTAAGTANAAAGGACCCTGTTGCTCAGAGCTTTTAATGAATCTTTTAATGTGTCTTTTAAAAAATGAGTGACACAGTAAGGCACCCAATGTCTATTTGTTGAATGAATAAATGAATGAATCTAATTAGAAGGACCAGTAATTAAAAAACTACTGTGGTCAGCTATGAGATAAAGGTGGTGGCAATGGAGAGGATGAAAATGCCATAGATAATAGAGAGTTCTCCAGGTCCTGTTGCTAATTAATAGTGTATTGTATGCTAGACCACGCTGCACTATTCCTTCCCATTTTATTAGCACCATACTCTAACCAACGGAGCTAACCGGCCAGTTTATTCCTTCCTATTTTAAAGATGGTAAACCTTTGGTTCAGAGAGGTTTAAGCAACCCGTCCTGGTCACTCAGTAATGAAGTGGCAGAGCCTGAATTCATGCTATGATTATATGATTCTAAACAAATGCGTTTTTGTCTGCCACCATACAACCTTTCCATCCCTCTAAGCCTGTGTGAATTTCCTCTCTATTTTTTTCTAGTTGGTGTCAGTGGATTGAATTTCAGGTGGTTTCTGAATTAAGCAAAGATGTCTTTATGTAGGCAGCTTTACATAAGTGGTCCAAAGCTTCCAGAGTTGGTGATTGAAGGTATAGATTAGGGAGTGTTTAATATGAAGGTAATAGCTGAAACTGTTATACTGGATGAACTATCAAAAGACAAAGAGTTTACAGAGAAATCCTGCTTTCACTGAAACAGATTATGTGATCTCACCAAGTCTGTAAATCTGTTAGAACCCAGAGGACCTGTCGGGAATACATATTTTTTGGTTTTCAGAATCCAATATGCATATATGTCAGGTAAATTAAAAATTACAGGTTTTCGAACTATTTTGTTATTTTCGTTTTTTAGAAAAATACATCAAATAAGCAGTCTACTTTTTCTAACCCATTTATGTTTTAAGTTTTTAAGAGCTGTGCTCTTGTTCAGTTCTTCAGAGAATCAAGCAGTCTTTTAGAAGAGAGCATTCTTCCTCCTTTTAAAAGCAAAGACCGTTAATCTTACCCATATATTTATTGAGTGCATCTGTATTTGGTGTCCCAGATGATGGCACAATACTTGGGTATCCTCTCAAGGAATAGAGAATGTACATGATAGCGTGGCACTTATGGGATATTGGATACAATTATGTGGATGTTTACAGCACTTTTATTTTCCTATGCATTTATTGTAACTCTTAAATTTTGTTTTATTGTGTTTGAAAACTTAGGTAATAATTTCAAGATGCCAGGGCGTTCCAGTTCATATTCAGGTTCAGCTGGTTTTATATCCTTCAGCGGTGTAGAATCTGCTCTCTCCTCCTTAAAAAGCTTCCAATCCTGCATCAGCTCTGGAATGGACACAGCTTCTAGCGTTGCTTTGGATCTTGTGGAAACTCAGAGTAAGTAATAATTAACATGTATTTCTTTTGTGTTTACTTTGAGGTAACCAGTGTGGTGGCATTAGTCTAGGGATGCCAGATATTGCTCACCTTGTGTGTATCCTTGGGACAGTAATTTAATCCCTCTGGGCATCTGTTTTCTCACCTTGTTCCACACACCGCATAGTGATGTACTGAGGATGAAACGAGATTGACTCGTTCGTGTGTGTTCAAACAGTTACATGCCACTAGAAATTGCACTAGAGATTTACAGGCTAAAACATGAAAGTCCTTGACCTCAAGGAGCTTACAATCAAAAGTAAGTGACATGTGTGAATTGTACAGTATACAAATGTACGTGATGAATTATTTTCTAGTAATTGAACTATATTTTGTTCATGCTTGATTACCTTCTAGAAAGACTAAGCTTACGCTTGGGGTACTGTTAAAGGAAGGCCTTTACAAAGTGAGACAAGTTCAGCTTTGATGAACTTGACCAAATATTTTTTTTTTAATCAGAACATCTAAAAGATGTTATTTGCTCTCTTTGGATTAGAATTGTTTATTTTATATTATATATGGGGGCAGGGGAGCCACATAATCATTTCGTTTTCTTTTTAGTATTGGTTTTTTAGCAATATGATTATGATGTGCCTTGGTGTGATTTTCTTTGTTTATTTTGTCTGGTGTTCTTTGAACTTGATAGATTTGTAGGCTTACAGTTTTGATCAAACTTGGAAAAAATTCTGCTACTATTTCTTCAAATACATTTTCTGTTCCTTCCTCCCCGCTTTCCTTTTGGGACTCCAATTACATGTGTGTTAGATTGCTTGGTTATGTCCCATAAGCCATTAAGGCTTAACTGATTTTCTTCCCAGTTTTTTCTCTCTGGCCTTCAGTTTGAATAGTTTCTATTACTATGTCTTCAAGTTCATTAGTCTTATCTTCTGCAGTATCTAATCTGCTATGTCTATTCAGTGAATTTTTAATTTCAGGTATTGGGTTTTATAGCTCTAGAAGACATAAATAGAATCTTATTTCCATCTTCCATTTCTCTCTTGATTATGTTCACGATTTTCTCTATATTCTTGATTATGCGGAGTTATAATGGCTGTTTAATATCCTTATCTGCTAATTCTGTCATCTCTGTTCCTGCTTCTTAACATGGATACTATATATTATGTTGTTGAGTATTGGGATTTTGTTTTCTTCCTTTAAAGAGTTTTGACATTTGTGTTTGCAAGCAGCTAAGTAATTTGTGGACTGCCCTGATCCTTTCCAGGCTTCTCGTTAAACTTTGTTAGAGTGGGTCTAGTGTAGCTTTACTTTAGGGCTGATTTAACCTTGTTACAAAGCTTGGCCTTTCTGGAGTTTCTGTAGATTGCCTAGACTAGAGGGTTCTGTGAGACAGCCCTACTCTCCTCAATGGAACTCGAACGTCTTCCAGTCCATGGGAATTCTGGGAATTGTTCCCCTTACAGCTCCCAGCAGTGTTCCTCAGCAGCTTAGGTTTCAGCATCAGGCTCAGGGGGATCCTTGTGTGGGTTCCTAGAGCCCTTTGTCTGCATAGCTTCCTCCCAGTGCTCTGTCTCACAAACCCCTGCTACCTTAGGCTCCCTGGACCCCAATCTCTGGCTCCTGCGTCCTTCAAGACGTCTGTGCTCTCTTGGCTTCCTCCTCCCTGGTGCAGGGAGCGGGGCACTTGCAGGACTTATTTCACTTGTTTCCCTTTTTGCAGGAATCATAGTTCTGCTCTGCTTGGTGTTCCACTGTCTGAAAGCAGTTGTTTCATATATTTTGTCCAGCTTTCTAGTCGTTCATCGCAGGAAGCCAGTTCCATACCAGGTGTTCACTCATGGCTGGCAGCAGAAGTCATGCATGCTCTTGAGTGGGTGGCCTCTACAGGTCTTAACCCTGCCTAGCCTGACCGGCAGTCTATTTTTGGATATTTGGCTTTGGTGAGTAGCCCTGGATAAAAATCATAATACAACCTTAAATCATGAGAGGGAAGAGCTGGAACATAAACCTGGAGAATTGTATCTGCTTATTTTCAGGACTTGCTTTGAAGGCTTGAAAGTGTTTTTGCTACAAAGTTCCTTAAAAAAAAAAGTATATTTGGGTGCAAAATAGAACATATTCTATGTAATTTAAAAAGAAATATAAGCATTGTTTTTTGAAAGGTTACTGCTCGAGAGTAGGGGTCAGCAAAGTTTTTTTATATGGGATCAGATAACACATATTTTCAGCTTTGGGGGCCATGCAAATACTCTGTTGCAACTCTTACAATTATGATGAAAATCATTTTGATGCTGTGGACCTCATGTAAGGTTCTTGGGGACCATACCCTGAGAACCACTGGTTATGAAGGTGAAGAGGACATTACCTCTTGTTGCTAGAGGTAATTTCCTGCAGAGCGAAGGCCTACGATGACCCCCACTGGAGCAATTCAGCAAGTGCTTGTTAGGAGAGCAGTTTAATATGACACCAGACTGGGGTACTGTCCAAGGACCCAGAGAATAGAAAAACACTTGGTGTTTAGGGAAGTTTGAAGGTAACTCAGCCTGTAACAGTAGATGGAAGACTTGTAGAAGACAGCCAGTATCACCACTCAATTGTAAGGACTTAGAATCAGCCTGATATGGGCTCCAGTCCCAGCTCCATCCGTAGTTCTGTAACTTGATCAAAGTTAGGTAACTTCTCTGAACTTCTAATTCCTTACCTGTGAAATCAGTCATTCATCAGACACACTAGCTAAAACTACGAAGATTTATAAAGGTTTTTTCAAGTTGTATAGTCTACCTGGGGAGCAAGACATATACATGTTACTCGATCATTAAGCGAACAGAGTGCCTAAAAGGTGATGCTTTGCCAGGGAGTTGGGACTTTATCATGGGAGGGTTTAAAGTAGAGGAGGAACACGGTAAGAGAGACACAGTTTTAGACAGATAACCCTTATAACAACCCAGAGGACAAGATGGAGGAAAGACATACCTCAAGGAGCTAATAAGATTATTTCAGTAGCTCGGGTAAAAAGGAAAATACTGGGCTGTCGGAAAAGTCATGATGCGTGTCTGCAACGAAAAACAGAAAAAATACGTCATGACTTTTCCGACAGCCCAATAAGTTCAACTAGGAGAGTATGTTGTAGTTGAGATGAAGAGGATTTGATTCGCTTGCCTTGTGCCTTACACCCACATTCTCATATAGGCAGCAAAGGGTCGTGTGGAGTGCAGGGCTTTGCTTTCACAATGCCGCGTTCTTATCCCAGCTCCTTCACTTCCTCTTTTTGTGACCTTGGACAAGCTCTGTAACTTCTATATGGCTTAGATTTCTCATTTGTAAAAGGCGTTACCATGGGGATTAAATGAGATAATACCTATAAGTTACATGGAGCAGTACTTGACACTTAACAAGTGCTTAGTAAACGGTAGCTATTATTTTAGTCGTTTCATTTGTGTTCGAGTTGACTATTTGGTTGGACAACAGTGAATGGATTGGGAGAAACTGAAGTGCAGAAGAGCGCAAGGGAAAGTTCATGAGCTATCTTCAGAGCAGAAATAGCTTTCCTCTTAGCCTGTGAGATTAGGCACGCTTTCTGTTGACCTTTCGGGTTGCCCAGAGAGTAGAACGAATGAGCTTCGTTGAGGTAGGTGGGAGTGATCACTTAGGTGTCATTTTCTCGCTTTGCATTGCAGTTCTCTTGTCGCTATATTATTAAATTATTGGTGAGGAGGGTCCTTGCTCCCGGGAACTTGAGGGGTGCTGATGTGTTCTGCTTGGTTTCCTGTTGGTTGCGTATTCCTATGCTGGGCAATTGTCCCAGTTCAGTTCTAGCATATTTGAAATGCTCACCTGCCTGTGTTGGTTACAGCATATGGTGTCTAGGCAGTTAGGCTTACAGCCACCACGTCCATCAACTTCTCTCCAAACTTGTTGATAGGCTAGTAATGGCTTCTTTAATTGACCTGATTGGGAAGTGAAATTTGTTACCTTAGGAGATTTTTCCGATAACTGGAGCTTATTTTTCAGATTTTAAAATTTATTATGCACTTTTCTGCTTTCTTAAACAGAATGCACCCACTTAATTCAACAGAATTGCTGTTATTCACACCATCCTTACGCAGTTGAACTTTTGGAAGCCCTTTAAGTTGAGCTCCGTGACTTTGAGGAATGGCCCTTCCCTAAAATGTTAATGTCCCCCAGGGTTGTGTCCTCTCTCCTTGAGCCTCTGCTGGCCATGTCCATGGATGGACTTCGGAGGTTTGCTCAATGCTCTGCGATTCTATGGAAAGTGTATATATGCTTGAGGACTGAAGGTGTTTATCAGATTCTTGTTGAGTATCTGTGAGGGACATTTGGAAGGAAAGGATCCATTTTAAATAACCAAAGGGTCCAGTAGATGAGAAAACTTTGTTAGAGGCCTCTTGGTTTTTCTCTGTGTATTGCTTTTCTTCCTATGATGGGGTGGAGCCGCGGGGCAGAAAGGCTTCCGTTATTACATGCCGTCAGGCAGGTCTTCGGGTATTTGCTGAACTGTACACAAGGTGTGGTGATGATATGGCTGTGGTCGTAATGATGCAGATAACCGTAGCTGAACTGGTTACACACTTCAAATGGGTGGGAACGTGCTTTCTTGCACGTGGTATCTGATTTGGTCCTAACCGTAATCCTGTGAATAGGGACTGTTCTCCCCACTGTACACACGGGCAAACTGAGGCTTAGTGACATTAAACACACTCTCCTAGGGTCGCAGTTGGTAAGCAGAGGAGTTGAGATTTGAGCGTAAGTGATCTTCATCGTTTCTGCGCTTCACTCTTACACTTTATTGATGATTGGTTGTGTCTGTCTAATGGCATTTGCAGCAGTCAGATAACATTGAAATAACATTTAGCAATATTTAGCTTAGAAAATTTTAGTTGTTTTGTTGAGGGTAACATTA